TTCAAAAATGCGAGATATTTTAACCTTTTCTTGAAGAAAGTAGTTCAACGTCCCGCCCTTATAAATCATATAATAAAATCCTTGTCTACTCTTCCACTCCTCCCTATTTACCCTCCATTCTAATTCTCTTGTTCGTCCAATTTCCCGGTTGTGCTCTCAAACGACGTGTTCTTAAAATGGGATTTCATATTTAGCATAAAAACACCATACGGCAAGGCAAGTCTCTCAGATATATTAAATACATACCTTTTTCAAGTGTAAAAGTGTAATGAAAACGAAAACCTCTTCGTGAGTAGTTGTAGCACTTCTCGTTAAATTATATTGACGCTCGCCTAAGTTGAAATTGCAACGTTTTGAAGAGGTCTACTATGTGGCGAGTAACTCAACGGTTTTTTTTGCTAATACTTTATTTCGTTAAATTTTTAGTTGCAAAGATTTAGTAGAAGTTGAAAAATTCGAATGGACGACCTTACTTGGTTGCCAAGAATATATATAGGGAGAGAAAGGTTAAAGTTGTAAATTTGAAAAAGACGAGGAAAAAGCGTCTAAAAGGAAGAGAAATAAATATGTATAGTGATATTTTATGTATATTACTTTATTACACTAAATTTTCTCACGTAGCTTTATTAAAAAAAAGTATAATCTGTTTATGGTAAAAAGAAACTCGACTCCTTTTCCAAAAAAGACTATGAACAATTACAACGACTCGGAATTGGGAATTCGGTATGATGTCACCACTTCTTTTAATAATTTCAAATATAATAAATATGTTTGCAAAATAATTTCTCGAAACAAAAACAAGGATTTCCTGAAAATTAATTTTAACTATTGTATTTTTATAATGATTCAACGTTTCCTTTGGTATTTACTATCGGTCTGTCATTTTAATCTTTTAGATTACATTATAACTTTAACCTTTGCTCTTCAAGACGTTCTTTCGATTCATGTAAATGAATTTGTAATCATATGTAGCAAATACAAATAAATAATTATATGAAAAAAATATTTTGGTAGTAAGCTTAATTTTAATAATTTTCTATTTACTATATTTTTCTAATAATCAATTCTTGAAAATTATGAAAATTTTAACATTATGCAACGTATTTATTTATTGAATTAATTATATTTAATATTATAAAATCAATCAATTTTGTTTTATTTTTTTTTAATAGGATTTCTAGTTTTGTAATTAAGGGCCTTTTACCCCCTTGTATTACAAAGGTCCATATTTCAACTTTACTTTATAAAATAAATAATTAGCTTTTAAATAAGTAAATATACTTTGTATAGCTAAATTAATAAATATGAATATTGTTAAATCTAAACCTATTTTACTATTTTAATATGCGGTAATTTCACTAAATTATGATTATTTCTTTTAATTAACATTTCTATTTAAATTCTTTTATAATAAATATTATTACTTAACAAAAATTATTAATAATATAATACTAAACCTATTTCTTAAATAGTTAATATAAAATTGTTTATTAAAATTATAAAAAAAACATCTATTAGTATTATTATTATATTTCTAATATTAATAAATTAAAAAATTTTTATTAGTTTAAATTATTATAATCTTTAAAATATTTCATTATCTAATAATTACAAAAGTAGGATAAATATGAGAAATTTGTTACAAAAAATCATATATATTGTTAATTGAAATAACTTTTGACCTAGTAATTATATTTTGATAGAAATATAATCATTAGAACTATCTTATCGAGAGATTTTTAACAAATATAAATTCAAAGTTATTGGATTAATAGAAGAGAAAATAATTTGAAATAAGTGATTACTAAAGATGATTCAGCAATTAATTTCAAATTTGCAACTTATTACAACACAAGCTAAAATTAGTAATAACATAAATTGCAACAGTATAAGTTGTAATATATGGTAGTGTGCTATTAAAATAGAGGTACATAACATAGTAAATCATATGATCTGTACCTCAATTTAATAGCACACCACTCATATATAGGTTAAAACTAATTGCAATGTATGTTGCAATATATTAATTATAATTCTCATCTTTAGTGATTACTATTATAACTTTATAAATCATTATTAAAAAAAAACATAATTTTTTAAGCCACAGCCCAAAAATCAAAATGACCAATAGTATTATTAATTAAGTTTATATAGTTATTTAAATTTAATAAGTTTTTTTTGTTTATTTAATTAAATTAGATAACATAGTTAATGAAGTTTACAATATTTCTTTAGTTTTTATAGTTTTACTTTATCTTTAATTAGTAATAGAAGTAGATCAAATATTTTATAGGATAAGAAATTATATAATAAAAGAAAAAGTCAGTTAGAAAGTCAGTCAAGAGACAGTTTTGATTCAGTTTAATTTTAGTTATATTATTAGAGAATTAATTGTGAAATTCATATTCTGATAAATTTATTAATAATAGCTTATTTAGTTTATTAAATTGTATTAATCCACTTATATTTTATAAATAAACTAAATATTATTCCTATAACATTAATATATTAAACTTGTAACTTAAAATCCAATTCATAGTTATTACTCTTCTATCATATTCAAAGTATTCACATATATGTCCAATTTATATTTATATATTCTCAATATTTCCCCGTACTTATAAATTAATATACTATTAATTCAATAGTTTTATTAATATGAACAAGTTTTTAAGATTATTAAGTTAAGTTATTATCCTTCAAATACCTATAACTTTATTATACACGTTAAGGTTTATTTTCAGTCAATAGACTTTACAATCATCTCATATAATAATATCAATAATATTAATTTCAAGCTTTTAATTGATTTTAGCTTAAATTTTATTATACTGTACTTAGATATATTTTTTTTTGAATATAATTAAGCATTTTAATACTAAAAATAATATTATATTATTTAGTTTTTCTAGCATAATTTGAATTACTTCTAATATGAGATGAGTGTTGGGAAAAAGAACTAAATCAACAAAAAATTTTTTTTGAAATAACAAATGATCTGAATCAGATGATCAAATCTACATCTATTTTACTTAGAAACTTTTTTTTAAAAAAAAAATTAATTTGATCCATTTTCCCAACACTCACCCCATATATTAAAAAGTTCCACTTAAGTTTGCTTGTCTAAATTTATTTTTGATTTGGCTAAATATCTAAACCTTTAGTTTTATTAAGTTTTTATTAAGTGTTGTGAACAGATAACTATTATGTAATATATGTAACGTAGATGATTGACTGATCTAACAAATCTGACATACATTTTTGACATATATAGCATATCTGATATAATCGATATATTAAACATATTTGACAAATTAGACATATTTGTTATATTAGATATATATGTTATATATGATAAATTATAAATATATGATATATCAGTTTTATCTTTTTATGTAATATATTTTATATAATTAGGTAGCCTTTAGTTTATATAAAAAGGCAGGATAGGACTCTGAATTATACTAATAGAACTCACAAATATAGTACGAACACATAATTAAAATTATATTGTATTGTATAACTCAGTCAATATTAATGCTAGAAAGATGAAAATTAATACCATTAGATTCCTCTCGGTTAGACGAATTCAATGGTATAAATATCATTAAAATTGGATTACTGGTTATTAAGATAATATGGTATGTAGGATAAGTAAATTTGTAAAAATAAGAAACTTTTAGCAAAGTTTACATATTAGTATAGTTCGGAGTCCTAGCAGGATTTGATAAGTTAGTTTCTAGTAGTTTTAAGAGACAAACAAGCTTATCATGTTATCTTTTAGTTTTTAGTAATTCGTTTTTTTTATTTTCTTTTCTTATCATCTCTTTATTTTTTTTTATCTTTTATTTTTTAATTTGTGAATAAACTTATAATTTTGAAATATAATTATTTAGTAAATCTTGAATTAACATTTATGAAATACTCAAATAAATATATCTCTTTAGAAATTAAGTCATTAAGTAAACTTATAAATGTTAAAAATTACTGTATAATTAAAAAGAATTAATGTTTAAACACTTTGTTTAACAGTTTTAGTTCACAAAAATTATATATTAATAATATTTAATATAGTTTCACCATTTTTATAAGTTTTAATATAATTTTACCTTTTTCTGAATTTTACAGATTTTTTATTAAGATTTTAATATAATTTAATCAAGTTTTATCTGTAGCTTAATAAAATAGATCATAATTAATACAAATCTTTGCAAAGTCTTAATAAATTTCATTAGGCTAATGTAAAATTTGATTCTCAATCATCTTAATCATTATATCTTCAAAATTAGCTTCATAAAAGTTATCAGAATCTACTGAGTCAGTTTCTGTATCAGAATCTTCTATAATAGAATCATCATCATTATCATTATATTTTGTAGAAGAATCATCTATAGTAGAATTATCCACAATTCTTATACTATTATAATTAGCTTTCGTACCTTCTTTAAAAATATCACCTTGCATTTTAATTATATTTGAAGTAAAGTCAGAAAACTATAGAATATATGGCTTGCGCTCTTTAAAGTTTTTCCTAAAGTTCCAGAAATTAAGATAAATGTGACTAAAATTGCAAAATGGAAAAAATATCTATAGGTATCTAATGTATATAAAGTTTATAGAAGGTAAAAAATACTGGTTTTATAATAATTAATATAATAATTATAAAGGTTATGCCTAAAAAATGCAAAGAATACTGCTTAATACCACTAATAATTGTCTTTGCATTTGCAATTTGCTTTATTGTTTTAAATTCAAATAGTAGAGATATTTGATGTACTGAAGAAGCAGTTAAAACATGATGTGTTATTTTTTTAATAAGTATTTACTTTTGTATTTATGCTTGATCGATTTTTATTAAATATTACTTTTATAGATATTATGGTCCCTTAAAATCAAATTAAATCAAATATTTAAGCAATTTGAATTTAATTTGATTTTTCAAATTGAATCAAATTGAATAGAATTGAACTCAAATATTTGATCGAATCAATTTGAATTGATTTGAATTTGATCGAATTGAATCAAATTGAATCAAATATTTATCAAATTAAATTAAATCAAATCAAATCAGATTGAATTGAATCAAATTAAATTAAATTTCTTCCTAATAGCATATTATATATAGGTAGCTAAAAGAAGGCAAGAGCATGAGTCAAAAGCAAATATAGATACCTCTGAAAAAAAAAAATATAGCAGGAATATGAGCAAGCCCTTTAGGATGAAGCGAATATGGATACTATATTTTTTTCGACCCTATGCTATCTTATTCTAGTATCTGTTAATATATGAGGCAAAGTCTATCCAAAAAAATCTAATCAAAAGTTGTTACCTATTTTGAGTTTTTTAAGACCTTATTACATAATCTGTTATAGTATTAGATCACATAATAACCTTTAACATATAGTGGATACTAGGGTTCCGCAATTCGATTTGACATTTGAATATTTGATTTGAAAATCAAATCAAATACAAATTCAAATTTATAT